AGGTGAATTGAATAATACTATTTATTTTGGGTTTTTTCACAGTGCAAATACTTGTAATAAAAAATAAATATAAAGTGAGCACTGTACACTTTGTATTCTGTGTTTTAAATGAATTGAATATATTTGAAAATGTAGAAAACATACAAAATATTTAAATAAATGGTATTCCATTATTAACAGTGCGATTAATTGTGATTGATTTTTTTAATCACTTGACAGCCCTACTCTAAAGCTATTATACGTTATGATTATTTATCTCTAGTACAAACCAGGAATGCATTTGAAGAGACAGACAGAAAGGACAGTCCAGTGGTAAGGATGCTAGTCTAAGACTTGGGAGATCTGAGTTCAAGTTACTGCTCTAGCACAGACTTCCCGTGCGACCTTGGGCAAGTCATTTAACCTCTGTGCCTCAATTCCCCATCTGTAAGATGAGGATAACAGCACTTCCCTACCTCCCAGGGGTATTGTGAGGATAAATAAATTAAAGAGTTTGAGGTGCACAGACACTATGGTAACAGTTACCATATAAGTACCTAATATAGATAGATCACTATCCAGATGGATTTCATGAATAAGTGACAAAGTTTCTTAATGTCCATTTTAATGATAGAAGTTACCTGTATTTCTTAAAAGAGGGATGCTGTCAAACTAATCTGAATTGTCACTGACCTAACAGTAGGCAATAAATAGTGTAACTGGGTTTGGTACATTGCTTCAATTAAATGTGTTTTGATCTCCATTGATGCTTTAATTGGTGGCAAGCTTCCCCTTTCATCTAGAATTTATGACTTAAATGTGGATGATCTGAAGTCTAGATCATCTCCCTGAAGTAGCCACTAATTAATCATCATTTACTATCCCAAAGCTTCCAAATTTATTTTTAAAATACCCAGAACTAATTCCCACTGAGCAACAAGTTTAAACTGTGATGTCGTGACAACAATAAACCTTGATTTTACCAAGCAATGCGATATTATTTTTAAAGCGTTCAAATCAAGTGGTCACATAATATTATGATCACATCATTTTCCTCCAAAATATAAAAGAGGACTCAGAACTCATATAAGTATCCCTTTAAACTCTATTTTATTTCAATTACAGTAAATACAATTTTAAAGTGGAGCAGCCATCTCAAGCTCTGGGCATCTTTACAACATTAAACAATTTTCAATAATACAACCAGAACTGGTCAAAAAGATCTGAATTTTCTAAACTGATTGAAATGCAGCAGCTTATAAACTTGGTGAAAGATTTTTTCAAAAATTCAAGACTGAAAGTTTTCCACAATGTAACCATTTTTCAAACTATCTGCGTGTACACAACTGTTCACTGCCCTTGCACTTAGAACTGTAATTGCTACCATCAAACAGAACTCTAATATACATATTAACATAGCCTCTTTTTTCACCCCTCACTGTGTGGCTTGTCCAAATACCTGCACTTCTAAAATAGATGAGCTTTGCCATGTCCAAAAGGTTAACAAGTCTGACTCTGGTGGTCCAATGAAGTGAAGAGCATTCTGAAAGTTCACAAACTATCACAGAGTATATATTACTAACAGTCCCCGCCCCCCACTTTTTTAAAAAAAAAAAAAAAAACTGCAAGGACATCCCGTACGAATGCCTCTACTTATCACAGCTATGGCGTTAAACCACAAGGAAAGGCAGTCTTTCATGTAACCTAGCCTCAAGCTTCTAAGGCTCTAGATTCTGATTCAGCACATTAGTTAAGCTCGTACCTAATTTTAACCACGTGAGTAGTCCCACTGACTTCAACTCTAGACACAATAGCTAAAGCTATTTTCTAATAGGCATTTTGGATATGAGACTTTGTGGTGCATGACCAACTTCCAACGATACATGACTGAACCCTCAAACTAAACAGGAATATCTCTATATCAATCCATAAAAGGGTGAGGAAAGGACGGGAATTAATCTTTAGATTTTTAAAGATGATGTACAAACCTGTATTTTTCATTCCTTCTCTACCCTCTAACCCTTTTCCTCCCCAACACTGAAGCTGCTTTACACTTATCATATTAGTTTAAATGCTTAATTGGGAGCCTTAAATCACTGCCCAATCCAGTTCTTAAGCACCACAACCACCAATATACCAGTATGAAAACACACCGTATAGATGCTGAGATGGAAGGGGAATTAGCACCCAACTCCCATTGAAAGGTTATGCAAATTGAGTACCTAACTCCCTTGACTTTTAAATTCAAGCCAGGGTATTATTCATTGCCTCTGGGAAGCAGACTTTTGTGAGCAAATGCCTTATGATAATATTGGAATATATATTACTAGTAGTTAGATACAAGACTTATTTTTCCAATTGATTCTTAATCATTATCCTCAGTGACATGACTGTGTTGGCAACTCTCTCTTGCAGAGAGTCCAAAGTTCTTCTATCCACTTACAAGGTTAGGTTAGATTTCTTAAGACTATTAGAATAAATTGCAAACAAGCTGCAACATGTGGCTCAGGTCCCAATTCAACTGTGTCTACTTGCTTGATTTTTGGTTACAGTACAACAGGGGTGAGCAAACTTTTTGGCCCGAGGGCCACATCAGGGTTGCAAAACTATATGGAGGGAAGGCTGTGCGTCCCAAACAGCCTGGACCCCGCCCCCTATCCGCCTCCTCCCACTTCCCGCCCCCTGACTGCCCCCCTCAGAATCCCCGACCCATCCAATGCCCCCTGCTCCTTGTTTCCTGACCGCCCCCTCCTGGGACCCCCGCCCCTAACTGCCCCCCCGGACCTCACCCCCATCCAGCCCCCCCCTCTTCCCTGTCCCCTGACTGCCCTGACCCCATCCACACCTCCAACCCCTGACAGGCCCCCCCGGGGCTCCCACGCCTATCCAACCCCCCTTGTTCCCATCCCCTGACCGTCCCCACCCCGACCTCCGCCCCACCCAATCTCCGCCCCATCCAACCGCCCCCTGCTCCCTGTCCCCGATTGCCCCCTGGGACTCCCCACTCCCTTACCACGCCAGAGCCAGCCATGCCACTGCGCTGCCCGTCAGGAGCGGCGGGCCAGAGCACTGGCAATGCGGCGTGCTGAGACTGTGGGGGAGGGGCTGGGGGCTAGCCTCCCTGGCCAAGAGCTTAGGGGCCGGGCAGAACGTTCCCGTGAGCTGGATGTGGCCTGCGGGCTGTAGTTTGCCCACCTCTGGACTACAATTATAGCTATTAGACTCAATTACTGTGCACCCCCAAGTGGCAATGTAATAATGGTAACTAGGCTTTTACTAAAAAAAGAACAGGAATACTTGTGGCACCTTAGAGACTAACAAATTTATTTGAGCATAAGCTTTCGTGGGCTACAGCCCACTCCATCAGATGCACAGAGTGGAACATATAGTAAGAAGATATATATATACACACATACAGAGAACATGAAAAGGTGGAAGTTGCCACACCAACTCTAAGAGGCTAATTAATTAAGATGAGCTATTATTAGCAGAAGAAAAACACCTTTTGTAGTGATAATCAAGATGGCCCATTTCAGACAGGTTTTTACTAGTTACATGCATCATTCTACATTTTGAAAAAAAAGAAATATCAATTTGGAAACAATTTTTGGCAATCAAAGTATAAGAATAACAACTACAGTATTTATGCGAAACAATCTGTTCCACCTTGCGTTTAGTTGTGGCACTCCGAGCACGCTGAAGAAATGCAGCTCTGCATAAGCTTGAAAGCTTGTCTCTCCCACCAACCGAAGCTGGTCCAACAAAAGATATTGCCTCAGTCATCACGTCTGGCCAATATTAATTTATGGCAGTGAGAATTACATTTCACTTCTCAGGGAATAATTTATTTTCAAAATGTTCCAATATCCACAGATGTCTCATTAAGCTATTTTAACATAGTAGGTCTTTATTTGAGGATTTAAAACACTCAAGTGTAACATGGAAGAGAATTTAAATTTCCTTTAATTGAAGAGAATTGTACAGCACGTCTACGTACACTCAAATATCCACAAGTCCAACAGGAGAGGGCAGCATTGTGTAACACTTTAACCATTTGGAAAGGAACATGGCTGAACTGCTGGTGACCTGATAAGGATTTTTAGATATTTATGTTTAAAGTAACTGCTATCATGTGATAAATCCTTGAAGGCCAGCATCCACTATTGTGGGCACAAAAATTTGCATTCATTATACATCATCCACACTTAGCAGCAGCAAAAATCTGTGCATACACTTTATACAGTTTAACCTTATGGCAGATGAGAGTTAGAGAATTTGTGTTTGCAAAATTTCTTTTCAATAAATGGGTTTTGAGGTTGTAAATCCTAAGACTTATACACAGTGGTGCAAGTAGGGCAGTACGGTACACCATACCATTAAGAAATTTATTGCCGGTACACTGTACTGGAAAGACACAGGAGCAGAACGTAGTGCTGCTGGGTGGCCCTACGCCGGCAGCTCTTCCGGCGCAGTTGTACCGCCCCTGCAGTCTCACCTCCAGCCCTTCCACGCAGCTGCACCTCCTGTCTGTATACCCCCCACCAGAGGACAGGGCTGGAGCTGGGGCTGGGGGTGGTAGAGCTGTGCCGGAGAAGCTGCCTGCATGGGGCTGCCCAGTAGTCCCATATGCTGCTCCTGCATCTGCTCCTTTCGGCGCTGCAGTTCCAAAGAGCCCTGTGGTTCAGAAGCCTGTATCTGGCGCAGCGGGAGGACAGAGCCCCCCTGGCTCCCTCCCTGGGGAGGAGTCACGTGGGGGGGGCCACTTGGAGAGTGTCCCTCCCATGACTCACCTATGCTCAGCGTACCGGTAAGAAATAAATTCTACTTGCACCACTGTTTAAACATTAAAAAGCATTTGCACCTACTGAGCGCAGATGCATGTAAGTGCACACTCAGTTTTGCATGCATGCAAGTAGAGGCCTGGCAGATGCTCTTTTGAAAGTTTACCCCAGTTTTTCCATAGAAATAAAATAAAGCACCATCTAAACTCATATTCATAAATGTATGACAAAGAGCCTTACCCAGAGTTACTTGAAGAAGGTGGTGGAAGATCAGGTGTTAGAACATAAAGACTGTTATTTTTTGGTAAGTGTAGAGTTTTTAAAACAGTCTGCAAAAAAAACAACATTTGTTCAAGAACTGTAGATTATGCAGTTTTTTTAATCATTTGCTTTTTAAAAAATTGATTTTTTTAAAATTAGTTAAAATACATATATTGAAAATAATTCCTTGATCTGCCATAGCAAAAACTACTACACTTGTAGGAGAATCCTTTCTAAAACACAGACAGGCAGACAAAACAGCAGCTCCTTTAGGCTAAGAAGAACAATAAACGAAACCAATAAACCAACTTTACTCTGAAACCAATAAACGAACAGCGGTACAAACTTATCCCTTATATAGGTAGCTAAATTGGTTTACAGAAGTCTATTCTTTTCACACCAACCGTGCAAATTAAGGTGGGATGCAAGTCTAGATCATTGGTTTGTATACATAGGAGGTTTAAAATATTGGTGCTGCCATCTTGGCAATGGAAGATGAACTGGAGGATAATCAGAGATCATGTTTGTGGCACAATGTATGCAATAGCCATCCACTACATATATCCTGCTCAGCATGGATACATGTTGCCGATGTTTAAAGCTGCACAGTCTATGTAGCGTTATCTTAAATTTGGGTGGAGAGTGGTGAAAAAAAAACACATGCAGAGTTACAGTTGACTGGGAAAACTGAATTCTGTTATTTCTTAACTGTCCAATCATTATGTTTGTTTGGGATTTTTTTTCCATTTTATGTGAGTTGAACATTTCCTGATTAATCAAGTTTGTTTTTAAATTTCGGAGTTCAGTTTTTCCCAATTAAGTTGTTGATACATATTTACAAACAACGGTATAGCCAAGAATTTTGCCTGAAGAGAGAATTCTTTATTTTATTGCTAATTTAATAATGTGCATTTTACAGGTACCAATATCAGACTGTACATGCAAATACTATCAACAGGCTAACGGAAGTTGGGGCAAATAAGGCATAATTCCACTTGCAACATTTTAAGCAAACGGATTCTTTAATAATGTTACTAGAATCAAAACAACATAGAAATCAACAGTCCTTGTGTTTGTTATGCTGACTTTCAAGCACTTATTGGTTTCAACATTTAAATCATTTCACTGATGAAACTGTAGGAAACTTACACTATCATCTAGGTCTCCAGTCTTCCAGCCTTTTAACAACATTTTCGATACAGGAATCTGAAGTTCATTTTCTAAAATGTGTTTGATCTCTCCTGTAGAGAAGGCAAAGAAAAAATACCAACAAAATCATGTTCACATTCTTCTATATTTAGGAAAGCAAAGTATCAGACCCTGCCTCGCTGCAACAGAACAACATTATGGCTCCAAGGTCCAACGTTCAACTCCTTTCCTGTTATATTATATCCATTTTCAAAAAGCATTTAATATTTGTGCATCTTTCTCCACTACATACAATACCTTCACATGAACAAAAAAAAAAAAAAAAAACTATTTCAGCAGCCCAGGTTTCTAGACAAAAACTAAATTAAATAAAATGGGAAAAAACAGTTAGGAAAACTAATTTTCATTTAATGTTGCTAAAGTCCAAAGGGCCATTTCAAAGGGAGGGGGGATTGAGGGAGGAGAGGAGGGGATAGTAATACACACGTACCCCTCCCACGGCAGTGTCCTTTGATTTCAATATTAAATGACTGAGATTTTCAAAGACGTCTAAAAGATACGGAGGAATTATCCTGTGCCCACTGACTTCAGTGGGGCAGGATCAGGACCTTAGACACACATCATTATTTCATTAGCAGAGCTTGGTCATTTTTTGACCAAACATTTTTCACCAAAAATGCTGATCCATCAAAACCAAAGCTATTCACAGGAAAGGCACAGTTTCAAAAAATTTCTCATTTCAAAAAAAGCTTTGGAAAAAAAGTTTTGAAATTATTCAAAACATCCCATTTTATCATTTTAAGTGAAAATTTCCAGTTTTTTGTTTCAAAACAAATACTCATTTTCAAATTTAGGCTAATTTTATAATAAAACATTGTTTTAAATCAACATCAAAATGAAACACTTCTGAAGTTTTCAAAATAATACATTTTAATAGACCCAAACTGATTTTCTTTTCTCCAGGTCTCTGAAAATTTGAGATTTAGGCCGGGTCACAAATTGGGATGTGAAATTTTTCAAAATCTCCATTTTTTTCCCAGGACAGGAAAACACATGAGCTGAACCCTAAGAGCTGTTTTGAAAATATTAGCCAATAATTTTATGTTGGAATTAATAATGTTAAAAACTAAATTCCTAGTCACCAAGTTCATTCAGGTACAGTAACAGTTCCAACATAAATTTGAAGGATCAGTTATGTAATGAGGATTTGGCAGTTCAATCAAACACTTTTTTAGAAGAATAGGTCTGAAATTTTAAGCCATAAACATGTATGACAGATTGCTCTTATTTGCATATTAATAAATAGCACTAGTAGTTGACAACAAAAATCAATTGCTTAGGAATTACAGCACAACAACTTGTTCTGAATCTTAATTTTAAAGCATGGTTAGGATGGTTCTTCAAATACAGCCATTTTAAAATTAGTGCAGTTACGATTAGTTTTCCAAAAGAATTTTAAAAAAATAAATAAATAAGACTGCTTCCCAGTTCCCCTTTGGCCCTCCCGGTATTTTTCCTCAACTTGCATATTGCAAGCAAAAGCATTCTGTTGACACCACTGTGGGATCCACTTGTAGTTTTAAATAAAAGGATATAATAAGGAAAATAGATGAGGCAAGCATCAAGATGAAGCACTGGCTGATGTAAATCTTCAAAAGAAACATAGTTCTTGCTATCTATAACTGTCTCCCAGACTAAAGATCCACAGCCAGCCATGAGCACAGCAAGAGAGAGAGATAATCACCCATAAGAGGAGAGAGATTCAGGGCCACCTGGAAGGACAGGAAGGCATACATCTGGGGAACATTCCATTAACAACAGCGCCAGCAGCCAGCGTTCACTTTAAAAATGAATTAGTCAAAGGTGCGGAAGAACCTATTCTAAGTCTGAGATTGGGAATATGATTGGAGGGGAAAGGAAGTGCATGGGCATAACAATTATAATACAACTAAATATTAATGCACTTTGCATGAATTTCCACTTTCTCTCCTTTTTAAATAAACATACTTATGTGCAGCACACCAGGAAGACATATAATGAGTATCTGGAGCTCTGCATGCTGGAATACATGCTGCAGCCGCCAGTGTTTCTGTGTTCTAAATCCACAGATTAATGCATCTCAGCAGGGAACCAGGTTGGCACTGCAGTTTGCAGGTAAGAAATTCCACTGAACAAAGAGGAGCGAAGGAACAAGAGGATATGAAAAGAGGAAGGAAGAATTACTCATTGTAAAACATATGATTTACTACAGCTTTTAATTAACAGTTTTTCCCCCATAAAACCAATTGTCCATTGACTTGAAAAGGGTGCCTTAGGTGGGTAAAAATGTCTTCAAAAGTTGACTTCAGTCATTACATCCTCACTGTCAGCCTATCACTTAATCAACCCCTACTTCAAGAATTAACTCTTGACTCCAATTAATATATTACACATAAAGGTACCTAGCGTATGGCTATTTCAGTATATACATGTAAATATAGTATTCCTATGTGTGTTGAGGAACCAGATTTAAAATAATTGTTTCTGTTTCAATTTTATGATTCCTCCTGAGTGCATTCTGTGCCAAAAAAATAAAGATTCTCCACACAGTATTTTAAAATTATGAAAAATTCTGCTAATTTTGTCAAATAAATGTGGAGGCTCCAGCAAGGCATTGGGGAGCACAGGCCAGTGGCTGTACAGAGGTGGGAGATCACGGTACAGTTCCCCAGCCCAGGACACGGACTCAGCGGTGGACCCAATCCTGACACTGCGCAAGGACCGGCACTGCCCCAGAAATACCCCAGGGCCCTGTCCCTCTGTGCCAGGCACACCAGGCATGGGCAGGCAGGCTCAGCATGGCGGGATCCAAGTGTAGAGGAGCTTAGTGTGGGGGGATCCAGATGTGGGTTGAGAAGGTTCTGTGTGGGGCAATCTGGGTGCAAGCAGCTCAGTGGGGGATCTGGGTGTGTGTGGGGGATCTGGATGCACAGGGGCTTGTTGGATACAACAGTAATGGAACTCTGCAAGGGGATCCAGATTAAGGCGGTTGGGGCTGGGGGTGGGGGGAGAGAGTCTGGGTGTGAGTGGGGAATAGAGCTTAGCATGGGGGTCTGGGTGTGGGGGACTCAGTAGGGGGTCCAGATGCTGGGGGAGTGGGGGGTCATTGGGGTGGGGATCTGGGTGCGGATGACTTGTCGGGGTGGTCTAGGTGCAGGGGGAGTGGGAATCATCGGGGAGGCTCTGAGTGTGGAGGGCTGAGGTTCGGTGGGAGGGTCTGAGTATGAGGGGGTCTGGATGCACAGGATGGGCAGATGGGGGAACAGCTCCCTTCCCCCTCAGCTGAGGAACGATGGGTGCGGTAGGGAGGAGGGGGGACTGCAGAGCTTCCTGCAGCTGGGGGAGAAATCTGGGGGTGGGTCTGACCCGGCCCCAGATGCTGTGCAGGGGAAGAGGACGTCCCATCCTCCCCAGCACAGCTGGGACTAGCAAGTTGCGTCTGGCGCAGGGTAGGGGCCACCAGCTGGGTCTTCTCCAGTCCCAACCCCTGCCCCACAGTGATTTACCTCTCTGCCAGCTGCCCTGGGCACCAAAAACATACTGCTGGGGAGGGTCACATGACCACTCTTGTGGCTTCCCTTTGCTTCCCCTCAAAAAGTCATTTTTCTGTAGGAAAGCACAGAAATCTGCAGGGGACAAATTCTGCGCGTGCGCAGTGGCACAGAATTCCTCCAGGAGTAAAATTATTATAGATGCATTGCTTTTTGGGTAATGTATTGTTAAAAACTGAGCACATTTTAAATTAACATAAATTTAAAATCTGTCCTTTTACAGAAGCATATTTTCTGAACATAATGCTTGGTCAGTTTTAGAAGAATACATCCACATTCCCTCACAAATATTTAACATGCCATGTACAATCTCAGTGCATTAATCACTAAGCATACAGGTTTACAAGTAAACCAAATTAAATCTTTGCAGACACTAAGAATGTGGGTGTAAAACTTTGGAAAAAAAAAAACAGTTGCTGGAGAATCCCAGCTCTTTGCTCCAGGTCGTGAGGAGTTAATGCACTAATTGGATACAGTGATGCAAAATCATGTACATGAAAAATAGGTTATAGTATCCAATTGACTCAAATGCCGGCCAAACTAGACAAGGTTGTATTTAATTTATAATGTTTAATTAGTTTCCCTCCCACCCCCCAAGCTATTTATCAGGCAGTGAGTTTACTCTTTCTTGAAGATTTCCCAGATTTTGTTGCTGTGGTTGATTATGTTAACATAATAAATACAATTTTGATCAGATTTCATTTCTGTGAATCCTTTAGCCAGTTGTTTTAAAGTTTCTAATTTATACCCTAGTTTTTCCACTATATTTCAGTAATAGATCCAAAAGAATAAGGAGCTTTTATTACTAAGTTCAAAATCACACAGTGTGGGATTTACATTCTTCTATTATTTAGCTAACAAACAATAAATCACAAACCTAGAGATGGACATCTTTCACCAGATTAGTCTTGCACCTACAGTATTCAGCTAACTTAGCATTAGAAGATCCAGAAATATTCCCTACCACCCCATACGTGCTACTGATTCAGTTTCTCATTTGTGAGAATCAATTTTCTCTTGTGTTGGAATCTTGCTTGACTTGGGGGTTCATATGAGGATTTCTGTAATATTTTAACTCTGTTATCATCCAGTTTACCAATATGTACACACAGATGTGCAGGGCAGAGTGGAATTTTCCCAAGCCCTCTGTGCATGGGCTGAATCACACTATTGTTACAAGACAAGGGTGGATTTAAGATAGTCATTCCCTTTGCAGGTGTAGTAAAAGATTAATTTATTTATATGTATGGCAAAAAAGTTAATGTTATATAGAGAACCAAACAATATACTCACAGGAAAACTAGATATAATACAAAAAAGCCCAAATAACTAACCCTGGGAAACAAATTTCCTTCCTATTGCCGACACTTACGCAGCATACATTGGGTGCCTTGCTCTTTCCAACAGTTACTATTTATTCAATCTTCCTTTAAGGTCTTTTTGATAGTTAAATGTCCCTTCTATTTGGATCTCTAACCTTCTGGGGTGGTTGTGGCATATTT